GAGATGGCAAAAGGTGTAATTTACTGCACAAACCACTGAGCAAAATGCAATTCAGCAGGCTAGAATTGATGGCACAATGGAGTATCAACTGAAGAGAAAGGTGGTCCGGATGCCTGGGTGGCTCAGTTGGTTAAGCGTCTGCCTTCGGCTCAGGTCACAATCCCAGGTTCCTGGTCTTCCTGCTTCTCCCTCTGCCTGCCACTCCCCCTGCTTGTGCTCACATGTGCTCTCTCTCTCTTAAAAAATTAAAAAACAAAAAAAAAGAAAACAAAGAGAATGGTGGCTTCAATTTGGGTAGTAGTGAAAAGAAAGTCATTACTTAGGAATGTTTTTGGTTCCCTTTCCCAATTAAAGGTCTCAATGCCAAGGAAAAGTAAAAAAATCAAACCAATCTGGATACAACTGTTAGAAGATTAGAAGCAGGGGCGCCTGGGTGGCTCAGTCGGTTAAGCTTCTGCCTTCAGCTCAGGTCATGATCCCAGGGTCCTGGGATCGAGCCCCGCATTGGGCTCCTTGCTCAGTGGGGAGCCTGCGTCTCCCTCTCCCTCTGCCCCTCCCCTCTGCTCATGCTCCCTTCTCTCTCTCTCTCAAATAAATATTTTAAAAAAGAAGAAGAAGATTAGAAGCAGCTTATGAAAATAATGTTTCACCAAATAACTCTTGCTTTTTTTCCACCCTTCTTTCTATATGGTTCATATTATTGCCAAGCGCCAGGTGACCGACTGCTACGTTGGGAGTAAGCGAGACTCTGCAAAAGACTCGCTGTGACTCAAGTCTAAGGCAAGTCAAACGACTAGGATTTACCCCTGCTCTTCTACAGAAAGTGGTCTCTTGAAGACACTGATGGTTGATGCTCCCTTGAATCCAACTTACACGTTGCAGATTCACGACATGCATGGCGTACAGCAACGTTTTGCAATCCTGTGGATTCTACAGGGCAGTGAGCTAGACTCACCTGGTTTTCTGCTGACACTTCTCTTACAGCAAAGATTCATGAAAAGTCAAGCAAATTAAAAAGCTCTTGACACACTGTCCCACCAAATACCAACTTTGTAGTTTATAAAAAAAAAAAAACATTAAAATGACAAACCAAAAGGTCAGCATATCAGAGAAATCTGAAAGCTGACAGCTTCCGCTCTTAAAATCCTCTCCTGAAAGGGAGCCAGCAATTTGGGTTTTAAATGGAAATCGATAAGAAGGACTAATGGGTGAATGGGACTTTCACGCTGGTTGTCACTTCCGTGGAGTCTTAAACAAGGAAATTCTGGAGGTATCTCTATGGGTAATCAATATATACAAAAGCTAAAGTTGTTCTGGGCTTATTATAATGAGATCATGCAGTTGTGACAGGCATTTTTTACTGGGAAAATGAAAGTACACCTCTTTGTGGTATAAAGTATGCCATCAGCATGTACTGCCTCGTGTTCCTTAGTGTTGGTTTGGCAAATAATTCAGGAATAATTCAGCTTTGTAACTCTGGGCTCTTTCCTACACGAGCATTCACAAGAGCATCTGCTTCAGAGAATGGCAAAGCCTCAGAAACTGAGAGGAGTAGTGATGTCAGGTCACAGGGAAAGAAGAAAAGCTTAGGGCTGAGCCGGCAGGAAAAGAAGAGTCACAGAGGCACAAACCAGAAGCTCCCCTCAGTGTAAATGCACACTGCCTGGCAAGTCCAGGTGCCTAGAATTGCTGTAAGGAGAGAAAGGAGAGCTCTAAGGAGCTCCAGGCTCCAAAGGATCTCAAAAGCCTCCGGACACAAGTGGTAGGCAGGCTGGAAGGTGAGAGAGAATGTGTCAGAGTGTCCTTTCCACAGCCTTGTTAAGTGGCCCTGCCGGCTTTCTAATTCTCTTTCTTTTTACTTCGTCACTTGCTGACTACAGTGTCTATTTTAACACATTCTAGAATGTTTGCTGACTAAATGTGACGCATTCCCACCAACCACCTCAGGACACTTCCCCCTCGACAGGAGCTACTGGGTCCTTCCTCTGTGTATTGAATGACGGCTTAGAGGAGCCTGGGTGGCTCGGTAAGCTTGTCTTCTTCAGGGTCCCAGCTTCCCTCTTCCTGTAGCCTTGATCTCCTTCCTCTCACTCCAATCCCCACCCTTCACTCCCAGGTGGTTTTCTCCATGCCCTGCACCCTGATGCCATGCCTTCATTCACCAGAATGCATAAATGACTGATATATTCCATCATTTCTCATGGGCCTGTTTGCATCTAAACCAGAATAACTCGAAAGGGATCCAACACTACAATGCTAGAATTTCAGGTACCATTAAATCCTTGAGGGAGCATTCCGAGGGCACCAGGGCCTTCCAGCAGCTGGAAATCACACCCAGATAACCTCTCCTACTGTGTAAAAGCCCAGCTGAGATTCTTGCATTTAGTTGGGCACCCTGCAATCACCTGGCCCTGTGTGGTACTGGTTCACACTGGGTTATAATTGAATATTTACTTCTGTTCTCAAGAGCAGAGACCGGATCTAATTATCATTATATCTTTAGATCCTAGCACAGCACTTCCTACTGAGTAGAGATCAACTTAAAGACTGAGCAAAGTCAACTGAAAGAGCTCCCAATGGCCAAAGCTAGAATGATTTGAGCAACAAAATAAAGTAGCACTGGACTCTCCAAAGTATAAAATCAATATGCATGATTCCATACTGATAAAAATAATTGAATAAATTAAAACTCCCCACTCCTTAAGGGTGGGCTGTGGTATAGTGACCTCCAGAGAGTGAACAGCATGGTAAGGGACAGAAAATAATAACAGTGGAGAAACCCAAAAAATACTACTTCAGCTGGATGACTGAGGAAAACCTCATCAGTCATAAATTAACAATATGTACCCTTGCTTGACATAATGTGATAAAAATAGCACTTTATCTCTGTGATCTCCCTCAACAAAAATCCATCACCTTAGCCTAAACATGAGAAAAACATCAAATTGCAATAGAGCGAAGTTCTACAATATACTTGACTAGTATCCTTCAAAACCAGCAGGGTCATCCAAAAAAGGAAAGCCTGAGAAACTTCCACAGCCAAGAGTCTAAAGAGACATGGTAACTAAATATAATATAGTATCCTGGATAGGGTCTTGGAACAGAAAAAGGACATTAGGTGAAATCTAAATAAACTATGGCTTTGGGCGCCGGGGTGGCTCAGTCGTTAAGCATCTGCCTTTAGCTCAGGTCATGATCCCAGGGTCTTGGGATCGAGCCCCGCATTGGGCTCCCTGTTCAGCAGGAAGCCTGCTTCTCCCTCTCCCACCCTCCCTGTTTGTGTTCCCTCTCTTGCTGTGTCTTTCTCGGTCAAATAAATAAATAAA